GATTATAGGACTTATCTAACCTTGTTTGTAATTTATAAATTGTTGTGAACCTACTTGTATATTTAGTTCCTAATCATAAATGTAGAGACTGTAGACCAGATCATCTTGATGAGTTTCCAACTTTTCAAGAATTTCAAATGAACAATGAATTTTTGAGCTTTAATTTTACATAAATAACATATGTTGTCAATATCTTGGTCACTGTTTTGGAGTTTAGTTGCAAGCAAATCTTGGTATATTTCTCATGTAATCACCATTTGATTCCCTCATTTGCTTTAAAATCATCTGCAAAGTTTGTTCTGCCATACATTCAAGAAAAAGAGTAACCATAATTAGATTTACATTATAGTTCCTAACGTTTTTTAAGAAGTAAGAGGTTGTATTAATAGTTATCATGGAGATGCAAGATAGCCACAAAGAAAATAGTTGATAACTTCAGGATTGCCAAAAAAATAATTGAGATCTGGGAGTTAAAACTTATAGCTAAAACTCAAAGTTGTTAACTAATAGGAGGGAGCTAATGATGTCTATTGGGAAATAAAATCATTACACAAGATTTTTATAAATAACTAAACATATTATTGATGTTTAGAATGTACATTCAAAAGTTATTATTTGAAATATTTGGTCTTTTACTATTTATATGTTGAATTTTTTTGAATTGCTAGATTTTGTCATGTAATTTGACTATTCAAATTTGTGTAACCTTTTTTTTACCATCTTTTGAGTACCTGGTTGTTATACTAATGTATTGTTATATCTATTTTACATGCATGAAGATTATGGCACCTAATAAGCAATGGATTAACTTATTACCGATAGACTTGCTAATGCTCATATAGATGGGGTAGAGAATTTCTTGATTATGCTTTTACAAAATTAGGAGAACCAATGTCGATCCGTTGTCCATGTATTAAATGTGGTAATGCAAATTCTAGAACACGTGTTTAGTTAGGTCACATTAATAGTACATGGATAATACCAAGTTATACTTTTGGTATCACCATGGGGAGATGTTAGGTGAAGCACAATCAGATTTTGAATTTATAGATGATAATGACATTGAAGAGGATGACGGTGAGGATGAAATACATGGGTTGCTAAGAGATTTGTACCCCATTTTGATGGAGATAATATGAATAATAGTACTGGTGATGATCTTCGGGAGGAGGAACCAAATGCTGAAGAAAAAAGATTTTATAGGTTATTGAAAGATCTTGATCTACCATTATATGAAAGTGCAAAAGTTTCTAAACTTTCTACTTTGATTAAATTGCTTCACCTTAAAAGTATTGGTCATTGGAGTAATGAGTCATTTACGATGCTATTAAAGTTTTTGAAAGATGATTTATTGCTTGATGGAACAAACTTGCCGGATTCATATTATGAGGCAAAGAAGGTAATTCGAGATCTTGGGCTTTCTTGTAAGAAGAATTGATGCATGTAAGAAATGATTGCATGTTGTATTAGAAGATGATAATTGTCTTCAATCGTGCAAAGTTTGTGGTGCATCTAGATGGAAGGATGCTAAACATAGTGGGGAAACAAATTGAAAAAAGGAAAAAGATACCATGCAAGATTTTACGTTATTTTCCTGTAAAGACAAGACTTCAAAGATTATTTATGTGCTCAAAGACATCTCCTTTGATGTCATGGCATCATGACAAAAGAGTTGATGATGGAATAATGAGGCATCCAGCTGATTCAATGGCATGGAAAATTTTTGATGAACTCCACCCATCTTTGCAGCTGAACGTCGTAATGTACGACTTGGACTTGCTAGTGATGGTTTCCAACCATTTGGAATGTCGAGAACTCCCTACAACATTTGGCCTGTGGTACTTGTTCCTTATAATTTGCCGCCTTGGCTTTGCATGAAGCAAGGGAATTTTATTTTGTCAATGCTTATACCTGGTCCTAATGGTCCTGGTGATGCAATTGATGTCTATCTACAACCTTTAATAGAGGAGTTGAATGAATTATGGTAAACTGGAGTAGAGACATTCGATGCATCAACTAGAAAGAATTTTAAGTTACATGCATCTTTGTTGTGGACCATAATGACTTTCCAGCATATGCCAATTTGTCTGGATGGAGTACAAAAGGAAAACTTGCTTGCCCATGTTGCAATAAAAAAACTTGCTCTACAAGGCTAAAAAATGGCCAAAAAGAGTGTTATATGGGCCACTGGCGCTATCTTCCTCTTAATACAAATGGAGAAATGATAAAGTGTCATTTCATAACACTGTTTGAGCATAGGCTACCACAGAAATGTTGTCTGGTGATGATATACTTGATCAAGTTGCTAATTTAGATGGGTTGCCATTAACAAAAGGATCCACGGAAAAAGATTAAAATATCGCATAAGAAAATGGGTGATAACTGGAATAAGAAGAGTATATTCTTTGATCTTCCATATTGGAAAACCTTATTGTTGCGACATAATCTTGAAGTGATGCACATGAGAAGAATATATGTGCAATATTTTGGGGACAATTTTAGATATCAAAGGGAAAACAAAAGACACATTGAGTACTCGGTTGGATTTACAAGAAATGAATATACGAAAGAATTGCATCCAATACAAAATGGAGATGAATATGAGTTGCCGGCAGCATCTTACACATTATATGTTGAAGAGAAGAAAAAAATTTCAATTTTTTGAAGAATTTAAAGGTCCCAGATGGATTTTCCTAAATATTTCTCAATGTGTCAACCTTAAGGATAAAAAAATTTCGGGATTAAAAAGCATGATTGTCATATAATTCTACAACATTTACTCCCACTTGCCATGCGTGGTATGCTTTGCAAATCTGTGTCTGAACCACTTATTGAGTTGTCTATTTTTTTCAAAGTTCTTGGAGCAAAATGTTTAGCATAGAGGAGTTGGAACAAATAGAAGCCCAAATACCAAAAACACTATGCAAGTTAGAAAGGTGTTCCCTTTGCTTTTTTTGATGTCATGGTGCACTTGTCTATTCATTTACCTAATGAAGCTAGGATGGTGGACCAGTTCAATATCGATGGATATATCCAATAGAGAGATACCTACACTTTTTGAAGTGTTTTATTGGTAATATGGCTCACCCTGAAGGTTCTATGTAGAGGGATATTTAGCAGTTGAATGTATGACATTATGTTCAAGGTATTTGAATACAATAAAGACAAAATTTAATTGTCCGGAGAAAATTATGATGGTGGGGTAATTGAATCTGATGGTGGTTTAACCATATTTTGTGAGCTTGGAAAAAGTTTAAAGGGTATTCACCAGACAAACTTGATTCAATGATTTGGAGGAGGCACATTTTTATATTTTAAGAACTGTGATGAAATTCAACCATTTCTCGAGTAAGTATTGATTAAATCTAATAATTTACTTCTATCTTGTCCATATTTCAACTTAAAATAACATGTAGAACTTCAATTCATTGTAGAGAATTTTCACAAATTCATAGTGAGGCCTCTCAACAAAGTTCAGATGTGGAGTGGAATAGACAATTCATTAGTTGGTTACAAAAGAAGGTGAGTAGAAATTAATTAATTTTCTTAAATCAAGTATGTAAATATTGTTTTCTAAAAGGGTATTTGATGTTGTTAGGTTGCAGAGTTGTACAAACATGATGATAGTAAGAGAATGGCAGATTTGCTATCGTTATCACGTGGTCCTCTACCATATGTGACAAGATTCAAAGGCCATATTGTTAATGGATATAGGTTTCATGTGCAAGAGTATGATAAATATTTGAAAACTCAGAATTGTGGGGTAGTTGTAGTAGGTGAGACCGGTGAAGAGCAAAAACCTATGAATTACTATGGCGAGTTAATCGAGATTCTTGAATTACAATTTGTTGGGGAGAGAAGAGTGATTTTATTCCAATGTACATGGTTCGATGTGTATGATCAGAAGAAGGGAGTTAAAATGGATGAATATGGCTTTGTAAGTGTTAATCGTCGGCGATGTTTGAAAATAAATGAGCTATTTGTATTAGCCAGCCAAGCATCACAAGTATTTTATGTTATCGATCATTCGAATAAAGGTTGGCATATAGTGCAAAATGTTCAACCTCGTGATTCTTTTGATATATTGGAAAAAAAGGATGATGACTTAGAAGAGTTAGATAACTCTACACAAATGAAAAGAAAAAGAACTCATTAAGGTTTGCAGCTTTATCATGCTTGCTTTTACTTTATTAATTTATTATGGTAATGATTCTTATAGTATTTTCTGTGAAAATTTGTTTAATAATCTTGGTCTTTAATGTTACCTTGATTTTACTAAAGTTTTAATGGTTTATGCGAGGAACCTGTGTTACATGTACATGTGTCTTTTTCTGAATGCGTTTTCAGTTAATATTTCATCTTATGAAAAACTTCCTTACCTATTTGATCTTTTGATTATTATTATTATTATTTTGTATTAGGTTGACATGAATCCCTCAAAAACTCTGAAGTATGAAATGGGACAAGCTTCAAAAATTCCCAAGCATGGACTCATTCAGCCTGGTGCCTTAGCAAAGGGACTAGGTCAAAGTTTGAAAGTTATGAGCACTACAAGAGTTAGTGCTGAACAAAGGACTTCGATTTTCAAAAATAGAAGTTACAATGCCACAACTTCTAAGTTGAATAAGCTAGCAGACAATAGTTTCCATGTGCATCCATGTTTGGATGAAAAGGAAGACAATGATCCCTTCCATCAAGGAACTGAAATGAATCAATACACTTTGACTAGTGGTGCAACGGCTCGAGGACAAACCTTAGGGATTAATGTTGAAAAATCACCTCTGATTGACAAAAATAGAAGTAATACAACAACTTCTAGTCGAAATAAGTCAGCAAAGACTAGTATCCCTGTGCCTCCTAATTTTTATCCAATGGAAGACGATGACACCCTCTTTCAAGAATCAAAAGTTACTCGAGATGCTCAAAGAAGTGATAATTTGAAAAAGAGTTAGTCCAGTTAATATATTTGATCAAGAAATTTTGCTTAGCTTTTTTTACTTAATCTTTTTTGTGTTCTTTCTGTTATTAATAATGGGCATGAACTTCTTATTTTGGTTGACTTTCATCAAAATTTGTAGGTGCATTTGAATTTGATAAGTCAAAAAAAGTAATTGGAGTGCCTCGATTTGCTCAAAAAAGTGATACTAGTATGTTATTTTATTTGTGCAACTTTTTTTGTTAGTTGAATTGAATTGTTAGTTTTTATAACTTGCACTTAAATTTGCAGGTCCGTTTGAATCTAGAAAAGCAAAAAAAGTGTTTGAAGTGGCTCAAGGTGCTAAGGAAACTGAAACTAGTATGTATTTTCTTTTATGTAATATTTTCATGTTGTTACTTGTAAAGCAGTCAAAATATTATCTTGCCTTGCTTCCATCTGCAATAGATATGTTAGCATATGATAGTTCCATAAGCAGTGTTCCTGCAATAAACATATTGTAAGCTTAACTTTTTTACACATTGGATGAAATCTGAAGTTTGGTAAGCCCCTCATAATCTTCAAGACCGTAGTTAAAGACTCCATAACCAATATAAATACCAGGGGAAACATGGGGTCCCCTTGTCGTATTCCTCGTTTTTCCTCGAATAACCATTTTCTACCCCATTCACCATAACAGAATACATGGGAGGTGTTACATATCATAATCAACTTCACAAAGCCATCTGGAAACCCATAACCAAGTAAAGCTTCCTCGAAAATTTCTAACTCAGCATGTCATATGCTTTTTGGAGATCAATCTTCATCAAACATCTGAGACTGGTTTTCCTATTGTAATGCCTTCATAAGTCATGATATATTAAGACATTGTGGACCATAGATCTCCCTTGAACAAAAGTTGATTGATTCTCTGCTACCAAGTAACTTACACATATTTTAGTTTTTGACAAATCAGTTTGACTTTATATATCACAATACAACACGAGATAGGTCTGCACTGACTAGCATTTTCAGGAACAAGGACATTCGAGATAAGGGCAATATTAATAACATTTATCCGTCTTAGTAACTGACCATTCTGGAAGAAATCCAACAGTTCTTTAGCAATATCTTTCCCATGATATCCCAAGCTTCTCTGTAGAAATCACTACCATAGCCATCAGGACTAGGACAGCTTTTCATATCAATACTACACACAACTTTCCTAACATCCTTTGCATTAAGAAGTTTCAATATTTCCAATTGTTTTTCAATAGCTTGCTTCAATTGTCTCTGTTTAATAACTGAGTAAAAATACCTTGTGTTTGCATCTCCAAGCCTGATCCAGTTTTCCTGACTTCTCTGTAGTAGGAACATCTCTGCTAAGTTAGAAGCTTGTTTGAATTATACCAGTTTTATTTTGCGACTATTGTCAGCATTATTATCCCGAGTGTTATTCAATTATTCTTCTTTTTCATTGACTACTACTTCCTTGTGATTCTATGTTGTGCATTTTTCCTTTGAGATTATGTCACTATTGGTATGGGCTATTTCACCTACACCACTGCTTTTATTTGCTTTATTTAATTTCCTTTGTATCCTTCTTGTTAGTAATGGGAATGAACTTCTTATTTCAATTGACTTGCATCAAAATTTACAGGTCTGTTTGAATTTGACAAGGCTAAAAAAGTGACTGAAGTGTCTCGGCAAGATCAAAGAAGTGATACTACTATTTTATTTTATTTGTGTAACTTTTTTTAGTAAGCTGAATTGATTTCTTGGGCATTTTGACTTACAGTTAGTTTTGCAGGTTTGTTTGAATCTAGAAAAGCAAAAAAGTGGTTGGAGTGGTACAAGATGCTGAGGGAATTGAAACTAGTATGTTGTCTTCTACGTATTTTCTAATAGTTTCTGCATTGTTACCTATAAAGCAGCTAAAATAGTATCTTGCCTCGCTTCCATAGGCCCTGAGAATCTAAGAGTAACAAGACTTCACTGTGAAAAGACCAAATTGTTTCCCCTTCCATTCCAAGTTATCCTCACTGTTAATAAGATCTTTAAAAGAAGTTAGGAAACCAACAAATTCTATAGAACTCTCCTTATCCCAGTCATTTAGATTCAAGTATGTTCCAGTTGTCTCATTCTTCACTTTGTGCTACAGTGGGATTGAACTTCTTGTTTGGTTTTCCTTACTATAGATTTTGCAGGTCCATGTGAAACAGAAAGGGCAAAGAATGTGAGGGGAACAAATATTTGTAAGAATGTTTTGCGATTGAGATCTGGAGAAAAATTAAAAGTCACTTTCTATCAAAGTCAAGTCGTCGGGCAGAATCACACCTCATTTACGAGACACTTGGGCTTGATAGTTCGTGATCGTAATATGTGTCCACTCCGGATACACTCATGGATGGACATTGAAGAGCATAAGCTTGAGCACATGTGGGCAGCTGTTACTGTAAGGATTACAACACATCTATCTCTTCTTTTTACTGATAACTGTCAAGAATTCCTTTTCAAAAAGTATTGGATGTTTTAGTTTGAAACATGACTCTTGATTTCACATTCCTTCTCCTTTAATAACAAAGTATAGTTACTCAGTTTCAATGGATAGATAAAAATTCTCACATTTCGTCTTTTCTCGTTAGCCTATTTGATAGTTAAATCTCTTGCCACTACCTGCTACTAAGAGGCTTTTGAAAAGTTAACTTTATTCTTCCACTGTAATTCCTTTGGATGTTAATATTATTAGTTTAGTGTGGCTATAGTTAATATGATTTTGCAGTTGGTAAAAACTATCAATTATTGTTTTTCAATTTTATGTTATAATTTCAATGTGTAACCTTCACCTTAACAAAATTTGGACATTTCTCAGTCATAGCAGTGTATTGATATATACTTCGTTAAGTATTGAGCTGACACTAACTGTTACTTGGACCTAAATGTTTGATGAAGGATACACCTATTCATCGAAAGCCTCTACAAAGTAAATACATTTCTTGGCCTTCTTGGCGGTTTTCATTATTGATAATCTTTCTTTGGTAATAAATTGTATATGTTGTACTTCTGTCTTTAATGAATCTTTAATTTTTGTTATGTAATATGGAGTAAATCACTATTCCATAACTGCCCTGCCACAATCTACTTCTTGATCTTGGTCCAGTGTCATTGGTTGATCCATTATAGACTTTCCTTAACTTTGCCTGAGCTACTAATACCCAGCCACCTGTAACTTTCCTCCACAACTCTTTTTTCCATTGACATGACATAAATAGATGAGTGGGGTCTTTTAAATAATGTTGATCAACACAAATCTTATTCTTTCTTACTGTATCTCCATAAATCTCTGTTTGCTAGTTGAATACACATTGGATATACACTTCTAGATCATATTATAGCATGAAGTAGGTCTATATTGACTAACATTGGCCAATGTTGAGACCTTAAGGGTAGTTAAAATTATGGTAGCATTTACTTATTTCAACAGCATCCCTATTCTGAAAATGTCATGTACAACATGAAAAGTATCTCCATCCACTACAATACATGAAGCATCTTAAAGAATAAACAACCAAAACCATCAGACTGTTGAGCCATTGTTAAAGGTTGTCACTTACAAAGTCCTCGGGTTTTTTCACTCTTTCACCCATTAGCCACTTCCTTTTTAATTATGCTACTGTTGTGGCTTACTTTCTTTTCAAGCAGAAGAAATATTATGTTACTATTGAATCACATAACATAGAGACTAGAGATAACTAACAAAAACTTCATCTATTATCTCTCCTGATCATGATGTATTTGTCCTTGCCCAACCTTGATTAATAAACGTGTACAGTCATTACCTGGTCAAATCCATGTGGCTTTACTTCTTTATAATATAATTGAACTAGCTAAGCTTAGTGATCTCCTAAAATTTATGCTAAGTTCAATTTCTTCTCCAGCAAGATCAGATTGCTAGGATTCTATTATAGTAGTTTCTGTTCCTTCACGTCATGCTTCAGGTCACTCGCTTGTGTCGCTACTTTACTCTTAACGCTATTTCAAACACTATACAATAGTGATGTGAGTAAGCTATAGGTTTTAAACAAACAACTTGTGGTTGTTATTTATTTGAAATTTTGATTTCTGTTCCTAAAATTTCTAGGTTACTACCTATTAGGTGATCTATACTTTGATGCCTTGTTTTCCCTTATTCAAGAGATTTTGATGGTATTTTTTCTATTTTAGGAGAAGTTTGACAGTGATGACATGAATGATCAAAGAGATAATGTTTTGCAACATATGAGAAAGCTTTGGAATAACTGGAGAGGATCATTGCACAAGAATGTGAAATCTAAATCATTGCACGAGGTTCTTAAAGATGTGCCAATGGGAGTAGACAAGAGTGATTGGGAATGGTTGGTCAAGGAACATTTTTTATCTCAGAAATTTAAGGTAAGACTTCATATAGTTATTAACAAATATCATCTTATTTCTAGTCACATATGATTAGTTTTTTGGAATAATTTATACCATGTACAAATTGAGTCTTGATTTCAATAAAAATATTTGATGTCTTCTATCCACAAGATCTACCAAAGAAAATTGCAATGGTGTTTTTTTGTGCTTCTGTTCTCTTTTACCCTCTTCCCACTGAGCTTAAAAGTACACATTAAATATAGAATCATTAAACAGGATTGTGATAATTTCAGTTGTTGTGTTGTTAATGCAGGACGCAAGTACAAGAAACTCAGTCAATAGGTCTAAGTTGTGTATGCCTCATCGTACAGGTAGCAAGCCTATTAGAGAGATTGTTTACGAAATGGTAAATAAATTGTGCAACCCTATAAAGAAACCTCTCATATTTCTATAAAATATCTTATTTTTTAATCGTGAAGGGAGGCAAAGATGGTAATCCACCAAACATGGCAACTATTTTCTTTGAGACACGTAAGAAGGGAAATGAGCTTGTCGAACCTGAAACCGTTGAAAAATATGTATGTTTATATCAATTTTAATTTCATTCAACATCCTTACTCTTACTTAGTGCATTGCATTATTTTAAATATTTTTATGTTTTATAGGCTGAAACTCACGAGCTTGTACAATCTGAACCATCTCTTACTAATATTGAGGTAGTGGAAAGGTGCTTTGGACCTCAATGCAAAAGTCATGTAGTTGGATTTGGTGGTGGAATAACAACTAAGGAGTTAAAAGGCGGTACCACCTCAAAGGTTGCATTGTGGGAAGAGCTGAAAACAACTCAGAAAGAAAAGGAATCACTACAAAAACGCATGGATATTCTAGAGAGTAAATATGAACACCTTGAAAATATAGTGATCCGTCAGTCTTCATCAGTTCCATCAATTCCATCAGGTTAGTAAACATACTATTAGTTATTATTACATGATGTGTATTGTGTGTGAATGAAGTGATGTTGCTTCTCGTTGATAAGGGCTTTGTTATTGCAGTTGTGCTATGAGTTACCTGTTTTCCTTTAGTGCATTGCGTTATCTTAAATATTCTGTATATTCTGGCATTCTCACTCTAGCATTTCTAAATATAACTAAAATCAATATCACTTTAGTTATAATATCCACAAAGCTAAAAGATTGATTTTATGTTCATTTCTGTATATACCAATGAGATTGTTATAACATCTTCAAATGTAAAAGTAGGTATCAATATGGTTATTGTTCTGTATATATGTTGTTGGTAGAAAATCAAGATCTCTCCTCTGATTAGGTCCTTGTATGACTTTGTCCTCTATAATATCATTGTCAATATAATTTGCCCTTTATTATTGTAGTATTAGTAGTTAATCTCAAACATCACACACTTCTACATTACCCTTTCTCTGTTTCCCTGCAACTTTAAATATATTTGATCATATTTGTGTCATTCTCCACTGTGGTAATTAGTTGTTTAAGTTTTTCTAACTTCCTGCTTGTCATCCAGCTGCAAGCTTGTTTCATCTGATCCACTTGCATTTTTCATTTCAACAACTTATCTATGTTTTCTTTCCTTCAACTTTCAGTACTAGTACTAGGACTAGGATTTCTGGTCTTCTTTATTTGATGTTAGTATATTTACATTCTCTTTGTTGAAGCACTTTAATGTGTGTTGTGTTCATGTCTGTCCACTTTAATCTCTCTCTTTCCTTCCATTAATCTGGAAAGAGGCCCAGGTTTTGTGAAAGAGGTGGGGTATGAGGAAGCATTCACTTGAATAAATATTTAAATGAGGAAGCACCAACCACCCTCTGTATGAGATGTTAATGTGAAAGTAATACAACTTTTGCAGGCTGCCAGTGGAGATCCTCAATGTAGAAGGTTGGGTAGAGAAATTATCTAGAATTCCTGAACTAGAACTGTAAATATGTTTCTAGTTGTATACATCAGAAAATAGATCAGGAACTATTCAAGAGAATTAATCCTTAAGTTCAAACTTTTTTCCGTTACTAATTAATTTACTTCAAATTGTTGTTTTGACAGATGAAGATTTTGAAGATTAAAGAACAAGATCATGTGAAAGATAATGTGGAGCGTGCAGCAAAGAATATTATATTTTTATTGTTGGTGCAAAGACGTTTTCTGTAGTTATTCTTAATGTCATTTTGTTAATTTCTAGGATTTTATAGATGTCGAACACATGTTTTCTTATGTTGAACGTGTATGCTTTTTTTTTTTAGATATTGTGTCAAACATATAAGTTTTTAGTAATTAAATCAATGTGTTCTTTAATTTATTATTAACAATATAATTTTATATCAAATTTTCAATTGGATGTGAAAAGAATTTATATGAATAGATCATATTAGTTCTTT